TATTAAATGCAAACATAACAATATTAACCTTAAATGTAAATGGGCTAAATATCCCAATTAAAAGACACAGACTGGCAAATTGGATAGAGTCAAGACCTATCAGTGTGCTGTATTCAGGAGACCCATCTCATGTGCAGAGACACACATAGGCTCAAAATAAAGGTATGGAGGAAGATCTACCAAGCAAATGGAAAACAAAAAAAAGCAGGGTTGCAATCCTAATCTCTGATAAAACAGACTTTAAACCATCAAAGATCAAAAGAGACAAAGAAGGCCATTACATAATGGTAAAGGGATCAATTCAACAAGAAGAGCTAACTATCCTAAATATATATGCACCCAATACAGGAGCACCCAGATTCATAAAGCAAGTCCTTAGAAACCTACAAAGAGACTTCGACTCCCACACAATAATGGGAGACTTCAACACCCCACTGTTAATATTACACAGATCAATGAGACAGAAGGTTAACAAGGATATCCAGGAATTGAACTCAGCTCTGCACCAAGTAGACCTAATAGACATCTACAGAACTCTTCACCCCAAATCAACAGAATATACATTCTTCTCAGCACCACATCACACTTATTCTAAAATTGACTACATAGTTGGAAGTAAAGTACTCCTCAGCAAATGTAAAAGAACAGAAATCATAACAAATTGTCTCTCAGACCACAATGCAATCAAATTAGAACTCAGGATTAAGAAACTCACTCGAAGCGGCACAACTACATGGAAACTAAACAACCTGCTCCTGAATGACTACCAGGTAAATAAAACAAAGGCAGAAATAAAGATATTCTTTGAAAGCAATGAGAACAAAGACACAATGTACCAGAATCTCTGGGCCACATTTAAAGCCATGTGTAGAGGGAAATTTATAGCACTAAATGCCCACAAGAGAAAGCAGAAAGATCTAAAATCAACACCCTAACATCACAATTAAGAAAACTAGAGAAGCAAGAGCAAACAAATTCAAAAGCTAGCAGAAGACAAGAAATAACTAAGATCAGAGCAGAACTGAAGGAGACAGGGACACAAAAAACTCTTCAAAAATTCAATGAATCTAGGAGCTGGGTTTTTTGTTTAAAGATCAACAAAATTGATAAACCACTAGCAAAACTAATAAAGAAGAAAAGAGAGAAGAATCAAATAGATGCAATAAAAAATGATAAATGGGGATATCACCACCGATCCCACAGAAATACAAACTACCATCAGAGAATACTATAAACACATCTACGAAAATAAACTAGAAAATCTAGAAGAAATGGATAAATTCCTGGACACATACACCCTCCCAAGACTAAACCAGGAAGAAGCTGAATCTCTGAGTAGACCAATAACAGGCTCTGAAATTGAGGCAATAATTAATAGCCTACCAACCAAAAAAAGTCCAGGATCAGACAGATTCACAGCCGAATTCTAGCAGAGGTACAAAGAGGAGCTGGTACCAATCCTTCTGAAACTATTCCAATCAATACAAAAAGAGAGAATCCTCCCTAATTCATTTTATGAGGCCAGTATCATCCTGATACCAAAGCCTGGCAGAGACACAACAAAAGAAGAGAATTTTAGACCAATATCCCTGATGAACATCAATGCAAAAACCCTCAATAAAATACTGGCAAACTGAATCCAACGGTGCATCAAATGGTATTGCTTAGGTTTTCTACCACAATTAAGTCAGCTTCATCCCTGGGATGCAAGGCTGGTTCAATATACGCAAAGCAATAGACATAATCCATCACATAAACAGAACAATGACAAAAACTACATGATTATCTCAATAGATGCAGAAAAGGCCTTCAACAAAATACAACAGCCCTTCATGCTAAAAACTCTCAATGAACTAGGTATTGATGGAATGTATCTCAAAATAATAAGAGCCATTTATGACAAACCCAAAGCCAATATCATACTGAATGGGCAAAAATTGAAGCATTCCCTTTGAAAACTGGCACAAGACAAGGATGCCCTCTCTTACCACTCCTATGCAACATAGTGTTGGAAGTTCTGGCCAGGGCAATCAGGCAAGAGAAAGAAATAAAGGGTATTCAATTAGGAAAAGAGGAAGTCAAACTGTCCCTGTTTGCAGATGACATGATTATATATTTAGAAAACCCCATCATCTCAGCCCAAAATCTCCTTAAGCTGATAAGCAACTCCAGCAAAGTCTCAGGATACAAAATCAATTGCAAACATCACAAGCATTCCTATACACCAATAACAGACAAACAGAGAGCCAAATCATGAGTGAACTCCCATTCACAAGTGCTACAAAGAGAATAAAATACTTAGGAATCCAACTTACAAGGGATATGAAGGTCCTCTTCAATGAGAACTACAAACCACTGCTCAACAAAATAAAAGAGGACACAAACAAATGGAAGAACATTCCATGCTCATGGTTAAGAAGAATCAATATTGTGAAAATGGCCATACTGCCCAAGGTAATTTATAGATTCAATGCCATCCCCATCAAGCTACCAGTGACATTCTTCACAGAATTGGAAAAAAACTACTTTAAAGTTCATATGGAACCAAAAAAGAACCTACATTGCCAAGACAATCCTAAGCCAAAAGAACAAAGCTGGAGGCATCATGCTACTTGACTTCAAACTATACTACAAGGCTACAGTAACCAAAACAGCATGGTACTGGTACCAAAACTGATATATATATCAATGGAACAGAACAGAGGCCTCAGAAGTAACACCACACATCTACAACCATCTGATCTTTAACAAGCCTGACAAAAACAAGAAATGGGGAAAGGATTTCCTATTTAATAAATGGTCCTGGGAAAACTGACTAGCCATATGTAGAAAGCTGAAACTGGATCCCTTCCTTACACTTTATACAAAAATTAATTCAAGATGGATTAAAGACTTAAATGTTAGACCTAAAACCATAAAAACCCTAGAAGAAAACCTAAGCAATACCATTCAGGACATAGGCATGGGCAAGGACTTCACGACTAAAACACAAAAAGCAATGGCAACAAAAGCCAAAATAGACAAATGGGATCTAATTAAACTAAAGAGGTTCTGCACAGCAAAAGAAATGACCATCAGAGTGAACAGGCAACCTACAGAATGGGAGAAAATTTTTGTAATCTACTCATCTGACAAAGGGCTGATATCCAGAATCCACAAAGAACATAAACAAATTTACAAAACAAACAAACAAACAAACAACCCCATCAAAAAGTGGGCAAAAGATATGAACAGAAACTTCTCAAAAGAAGACATTCATGCAGCCAACAGACACATGAAAAAATGCTCATCATCACTGGTCATCAGAGAAATGCAAATCAAAATCACAATGAGATACCATCTCACACCAGTTAGAATGGCGATCATTAAAAAGTCAGGAAACAACAGGTGCTGGAGAGGATGTGGAGAAATAGGAACGCTTTTACACTGTGGATGGGAGTGTAAACTAGTTCAACCATTGTGGAAGACAGTGTGGCGATTCCTCAAGGATCTAGAACTAGAAATACCATTTGACCCAGTCATCCCATTACTGGGTATATACCCAAAGGATTATAAATCATGCTACTAGAAAGACACACGCACACGTATGTTTATTGCGGCACTATTCACAATAGCAGAGACTTGGAACCAACCCAAATGTCCATCAATGATAGACTAGATTAAGAAAATGTGGCACATATACACCATGGAATACTATGCAGCTATAAAAAGGGATGAGTTCATGTCCTTTGCAGAGACATGGATGAGGCTGGAAACCATCATTCTGAGCAAACTATCACAAGGACAGAAAACCAAACACTGCATGTTCTCACTCACAGTTGGGAACTGAACAATGAGAACACTTGGACACAGGGCAGGGAACATCATACCCCAGGGCCTGTTGTGGGGTAGGGGGCAGGGGGAGGGATAGCATTAGGAGAAATACCTAATGCAAATGACAAGTTAATGGGTGCAGCACACCAACATGGCACATGTATACCTATGTAACAAATCTGCATGTTGTGCACATGTACCCTAGAACTTAAAAGTATACTTAAAAAAAATTCTTAAGGTTGTGGGCTTCAAAAGGAAAGTGGGCTGTGCAGGAAGCAGCTTCTGCCTATCTGGTGAGTTCCTGAAAGTAAGGAAGTGAAGAGACAGATACAGGGAAGTGGAGCCCTGGTAGAGAAGGAAAGAAACACACCACTGGACACTGCTGAAAAGGCATTTCTGATCCGTTCCAGGATCCACCCCATGCCCAGGACTCCTAGGGAAGTTTGTAGACTAAATATTGACGTAAAAACACCGACGTAAAAACACCCAGAGCACATATGTTTATTCAGAAAAAGGCAAATGGTGGTGGTTGTGAGATGGGCAGGTTGCGGCCCTATTGTGCAATTTTTGATATTTTGATGTATGTGTAATACAGTTTTTCCCACTAATAAAATCTATTAACAGAACCCTGTGGCAAGAGTATTTCTCAAGTTTCCCTTAGTATTGAGAAATCAGCACATACTACCTGAAAATACTCCCGGAACCTAATTATCCAAGGGAATTTATGATATAGTACATGAATTCTATGCCATATTACACGTAATTACATGGTGACACTGTCTTATAGTAGTGGCAGAGCAGTTTACAGTTCATAAAGTGCTCTGATGTGTATTGTTTCATTCACTTTTCACAACACTCCCCACTCTCCCCTAGATGTTCTGGGCTCCGCTGTCCCTCATGCAAGCCTCCAGATACGACCTGCAGCCTCAAGGACAGCTCAACTCTACTTTCCTGGGCACCCGACACCTCCATTAGCAGACCTGATACCAAAGGGTTTTTCTTTAAATAAACACATCACCAGGTTGGGTCATGCAATCACTGTCTTCTTCTCCAGTGAGGAATCAGGAACTCAGGAAGATCACGAGACTTCACTGGCAGCCTGGATGTGCTCCCAGTAGATACATTCCACATTACAGACCACAGTGTGGTCCTTCCCTTCCTCCACAGCTGCACAGAAGAAATTTTACCTGAGAGTTCATCAGGCGAATGGTAGTTTTTGTGCCCACATCTTGCTGGAAGTTGGCTGTGGGTGCCCCATTAAACCTTAGGACTGCGTCATGATCATCTGTAAACCACAAAGAAACAGAAAAGAGGTGATGAGCACTGGCAATATGCAGAAAAAGAGAAAGGTAAGGGGAGGGGGCAAGGGAATAATGCTTCCGCATCCTAATCCACAGGGCGAAATGGCAGTATTTGTGTGGTGCTCAGGTAAAGCTCCTAGGCAGAGATGACCACCTGTCTGCCAGCCACTGTAAGGGCTGAAGGGGTCCATACTGTGGCATTCCTGAAGCCCATTCAAAGACAGTCACTTGTGCCTGGGCACAGCAGAAAAGTGAACAAAACCAGTGTGCTACTTACAGTGGAATAGCTACTCCAGTTATCAAAGCAACAAACCAAATATTCTCTTGGTATCACCAGTCGATTATATTTCTACATCTGTTAGAAAAATGAAAACACTACCATAGGTTCAGTGTATCCCACAAGTGCAAAGGACCCCATTGCACTCTGAAAAGCATGCAGTGCTCAGCAAATGGACGGGATTTAACTATGGCATCCAAGACAACCCCCAGGTGTTCCATTTGGGAACCTGAGGCCCAGGGAAGAGTCACAGACCTGGTGTGGCAGCAATGGAAGAGGAGGTCACAGGTCTCAACTAACTAACTTCCTTCCTTCTTTCCTTCCTTCCTTCCTTCCTTCCTCCCTTTTCTCCCTTTCTTCCTTTCTTCTTTTCTTCCCTTCCTTTCTTCCTTTCTTTTTCTCTCCTCTTCCTTTCTTTTTTCTTCCTTTCTTTCTTTCTTTCCTTCTTTCATTCATTCTTTCTTTCTTTTTTCTTTCTTTCTTTTCTCTCTCTCTCTCTTTCTTTGCCATTGTCAGAAACAATGTACTAAATCCAGTCAAAATCAAACAGACCATCTTGAAAAACCTAAGCTTCCTGGGCTAGCTCCTTGTCTTTGCAACTGTTTAAGCAGTGTTTGGAAGACTTGGAAAAGTTTTTCTACCCAACGTTGACCAATCTGGTGGAGGAGGGAAGACTTTAAGGAGCCATCCCAACCCTGTGATCCTATGAGAGCTTCTTCCAATCTTACTTGGTCAAGCAAGTTTGGGGCTCACCAGTGAAATCTGCACTGCAGCTGGAGGTCAGCTGCATCCTCTATTGTTCTATTCAGGTTTGTTTTGGGTCATCCATCCACACAGGATCTGGGGAAGTGAGGGCATTTGACTGAATACAAGATGATTTAGAAAGAGGATATCCACAGAATTAAGGATGAAAGCCTCTCTCTCTCAGTTCCAATGTATGTACTAAACCCTAGGAACACAGAAACCTCAGTCATGAAAACACAACCCTATCCTCAATCCTAGGGCAAAATTTCATCGAAATGGTTTGAAAATTACCTGAGAAGGGCACAGTCCCAACTGTTATCATCTTACAGGGCAGGTACACTGAAGTGCACATAGGGCAGGAGGTATATCTTTACACAACTCAGAATTATAACCCATTTTGTCATAATCAGTCACTGCTTCGAAAGAAATTAGTAGCAATTGCATGAGAAACACAGATCCATCAGAAACTTTAGTCAACTTTCCATAAATTATTGGTAAGAATCCCAGTAGAAAAGAGATGAGAAGTTCCAACAGAGTAACTGAGAGATTCATAAAAGGACTACTTACCAAGTTGGGGTAGAGTTTAAAGAAATCAACATGGAATAGGCTAAAGCCCCAGGGTTGATGACTGCATGGAGTCATTACTACCCCTGGTCTACTGTGGCCTGATGAGCACAGACCCTGAGCCGCGGAGGGACACCTATCAGGAGCTGTTGCCTTTAGGAGAGGAACACAGCTATTGCCAACCTCCAACCAGCAAGAAGGGGTCTGGGGGAGTCAATATCCCAACCTGGCTCTGCTCCTTCCCTTGGATCTCACAGACCTGAAGGGAAAAGGGAGAGAGCAGGACCAAGAGGGAGGGCCTCCTGGCAGGATCTGACACCTTCAGTCAAGAAAAAGACTCAGCTTGAGTGTACTCTGCAAGGCGAAACATGGCCAAATAGGTGCCCTGACCTTAGTCTTCTTCTCAGCTTAATGCCAGTGCTTCTCCTGGCCAGTCCCAAAGAAAACCCAGAGAGTGAATAATGCCAGTTAACACAGTTCAAAATTTTAATTTCTGTGCTGGGTGCAGTAGCTCACGCCTGTAATCCCAGCACTTTGGGAGGCCGAGGCAGGTGGATCACCTGAAGTCAAGAGTTCAAGACCAGCCTGACCAACATGGTGAAACCCCGTCTCTACTAAAAATACAAAAATTAGCTGGGCGTGGTGGTGTGCGCCTGTAATCCCAGATTCTCAGGAGGCTAAGGCAGGAGAATCGCTTGAACCCAGGAGGTGGAGCTTGCAGTGAGCCGAGATTGTGCCACTGCACTCCAGCCTGGAGACAGAATGAGACTATTCTCAAAAAAAAAAAAAAAAAAAATTTCAATTTCTCAGGGACAGAGCCAGATGGAAAAAGGTGAGAGTGGGATTTGGAGGTGCAACTGGAGAACATCCCACACAGAAGGCTTAGGTTAGAGCGGATGCTTGATGTTGACCATAAGAAAGGAGAATTGTTTTGCTCACTCAACAAATACTGATTGAGCACCTACTCTATGCCAGGCACAGTTTTAGACACGGGAGACGACGGCTGTGAGCAACAAAGACAAGGTCCATGCCATCAAAGATATGACATTCTACTGCACGGAGATAGACAATAAAGACACACAACAACCTACATATAAGATAATTGCAGATTGTGACAAATACTGTGACACCAACAAGCTGAGCTGTGTGCCAGACACACTGAGGGAATTTCCTTCATAGAGTGATGACTCAGAGAATGCCTTGGAGCTGAGACCCAAAGGATGGCCAGACTTGGGAAGGGTTCAGAGAAGTCCACTAGCCAGAGGATGCAGCAAGTGTCAGGACCACAGCGAGGGGAGGAACTTGACTGTAGACAAGGAGTTAGGGGAAAAAAAAATCAAAGATGCAGTTACAGAGGTTAGCAGGAACCAGATCGTACGGGGACATGGGGGCCCAGGTATGAAGTTTGGACGTGATTCTAAGAAAAAAGCCAATCAGGCCGGGCGCGGTGGCTCACACCTGTAATCCCAGCACTTTGGGAGGCCGAGGCGGGTGGATCACCTGAGGTCAGGTGTTCAAGACCAGGTTTTGCTGACCCCTGATATAACTGATCATGTTCTCCAAACTACTCAGTTCACAGGTGTCTTCTCAGTCCTTATTCTGCCCAAGAATATATCCCACCTCTGCAGACTTTGATACCAACAGCCAACATCCCTCAAACTATATCCCCCTTTGCCTTCCATTGTATGGTGCACACCTAGTTCTCCTCTAGCCGGTCTCTGACCCTTCTGACTTTTCCTGCTTATCCCTGTTCTTTTATTTGTCCTTTAAATGTAAACCTTTTCCTAGGTTTTCTAATTGGTCGTCTTCCCTGGATTATAACCATTATCTCACCTTGATACAAATGACTTCTAAATCTGTCTCGACATCTGACCCTTCTCTAGAATTAAATACTCGACAGCATAGATATTTACCCAGCGCAATCCACACACACTTCAGTGTCAGAACATCCAAAGCGGAATGTGCGTTCCTCTGGAAGCCTGCTCCCCCTGGTAAGATACAGCCTGCTCCCAGGCGAGACATCCTGGCTCCTGCCTCTCACTCAAGATCATTTCCAGCTAGATAGTAAGTTCTGCCTCTTACTTCATGAAGCCTCTCAAGTAAGGTCCTTTCTCTCCATCACGGCTACCACAGCCCGGGCAGGCCTGGCACTTCTGACCTGGATGTGGCAATAGTGCCTGATAATGGAGATATTATACAGTACAAAACAGGGACTCATAGAGTATAAGTGAGAAATCTCCCTTGTTCAAAAACCTTCTAGGGCTCTCCATGGCTTGAAGAAGGAAACCTAAAGTCCTTATTGTGACTGTCAACATTCTCCAAGAGCTAATGCCTAGCTACCTTTCTGGCCTCGTTCCTCACCCATCTTCACCCACAAGGTCCCACATGCCATCCAAACAGGATTATTTGTGATGCCCATCCAAACAGGATTATTTGTGATGCCCAAACACACGGGGCACTTTTCCCCATGCAGCCTTTGCCTTAACTCAGAATATCCTTCTCTTCTTGTCTAGGACAGCTAATAGACAGGAGTATAAGAAATGTTTTAACATAACAAAAGAATAATCACACCCAATTGTATTACGAAGCTACAATTATTACGAGGCACAACAGCAGAGGTGCTAAGAGTGGAGTCTTTGAAGCAAGCACTCTGCTTTCAAACCCCAGTCTGCCATTAGCCAGTGGTGTAAGCACTTGAGCCTCTGCATTTAGCTCTGCAGCAAAATGAGACCAATTATCTTATCGACCTCACAGGACTTCTGGGAGGATGAAAAGAGCAAGGCATGTTAGGCACAGCAGATGCATAATAAGCATCAGTTATATTAATGATAGTGTTTTAAAATTATGCTACTGTTTAACATGAAAATTCCAGCAAATCTAAGATACTTAACATGTATGAGTAAACTATCAAAAATAACTGAAAATGACTGAGCCCACCATTGGCTGGTTTGTGAGACTGCTGGAGGCAGAGTGTGTTATTACACTCTCTCTGATAGAAAATCTTGCTACGGACAAAAAAAAAAAAATCATAAAATGTCTCTTACTCGTGTCTTCTAGCCTCACTTCTGAGGATATTTCCCTGTTGAATGTCAACAGTGGTCACCTAAGTTATCTGCACAAAAACCCTGCTTGTCAGCAATGTTATTTGTAAAAGAAAACCATTTGAAATAATCTGATCCATTCAATAGTTGGGAAGAGACTCAACAAATTCCAGATGCAGGAGGAAGTGTATGGGCCTGGCACGCTGCCTGCAACTCAGGCTTCAACAAAGGGCCTTTCCTTTCCCCCTCCCCTTCCCCTTTGTATTGTTGATGAATCCATGAATAAGTAAAAGAATACATGAATGAATGTCTTAAAATATTTGTTAGACAAAATGCCAAGAAGATATATACCCTATAACAGCAGAACATTCGAAGTCTAACATGTAATTTTTATTACATCTCAGAATCAAAGTCCTTCTGTGGAAATCCTTATTTTGAAGTTGAAACTGCAGTCTATAGAAAAATATTATTTTTATTATTAATGTTTATTTAAACCACTCTAAACCTTTAAGGAGTGCATAAAATTAAAGCTGTAGTTCCAGTTCACAGAGGTATCAGGCCCTGTCTCAAACTTCAGTATAATTTCAGCCAGGCACGCAATGTTAACTTTGACATGAAGAACAAGGATCAGCTAATACCTAGGATATCCCAAACATAAGCAGCAAAAATGGAGAAGAAAGAAAGAAACTTCACTCCATTATGGATGAACAAAAACCAATCACATTTAGTTTCTTGAAAACAAAGTCCAAGAAAAAACAAAAGTACAGAAGCAAAAGTTGAGGTGGGGCTGGCCAGCAGGGCAGCTGCCTATTTGGGGAGGTAGAAACTGTGATCTCACCATTTATTTCTGCTCTAGAGAATCCAATTTGGGCCTACTTTTCTTCTTTGAGAGCCTGTTCTGGGTTTCAGACCATTTTTCCTGGCAATCCAATGAAGGAAATAAAAAAGGAGACATATGACCTCACCTGCTCCAGTACCTCCAGGCTGACAGGGGAGCACAGCTTCCTGTGCTTTGCTTTCTTTAGCTGATTCATTTCAAATAATGGAAAACACATTCAGCATAAGAGAAATAAGGCTCTCTGTTACACAGGTTTACAAATATAGAGAGACTTTCTATCTTGATTCACTACAAAGGGTTTCAAGAAAAGCAAATTAATATATTGTGACCAGTGACTCTGAAACCTTTTTGGGTCACAGATCCCTTAGAGAATAAACTGCAATCTACAAGCTCCCTTCCTGGAAAAATGCACAGACACACATACACATATACATACACATACACATATACATATACATATACATACACATACACATATACATACACATATACATACCTATACATGCACATATACATACACATATACATACATGTACATGTACATACATGAACATACATACACATGTACATATACATACACACACATACACATATACATATACATACATACACATGTACATATACATACACATATACATACCTATACATACACACACGTACATATACACACATATACATACACATGCATACACATGTACATATACATACACATATACATACATATACATGCACATACATACACATATACACACATACACATACATGTACATACACATATACATACATATACATACATACACATGTACATATACATACACATACACACTCACACACACACACACATTATACACACCTAATCCACAGATATTTTTACGTGCAATCGCAGGGATTTATGACCCTCTGAAGTTGGTCCATAGCCCACAGTTAAGACTTGCTGACCCAATTAAATCTTTTCAAAGAGAAAAGCTGAAAATTACCCAGGTTGTTGAGGCCAATAGAGTCCTCCATTAATCAGGTAAAACAACAGAATTTCAGAACCTGGAAATGATGTAGAGATCTATGCTTCAAGTCTTTTCAAAGGTCAATTGTAGGCTTTTGATTATTGGTAGCAGCGGAACTCTCTTTTCAGATGAAATCTTCTGCACAATTCCAATATTTAAAACAGAACAAAATAAAACTATTCTGTTCCCAACACAAAGAAGCAATAAATGTTCAAGGTGGTAGATATTCTAATTACCTTGATTGGATCATTACACATTGAGTACATGTATCAAAATATCCCCATAAATATATATAATTATTATATATCAACTAAAAATATTAGGAAACAATAATGAAACTCTTCAAATTGATAAAGATGCTGGGGGCCTAGAGTGCCATCTGTTCAACTCCCTCTGTGTCACTTGTGACTCTGAAAAAACACTGCCCTGGGCCCACTCCACCGGTCCACTGAGCCACACTTGGGCCACTTGTCTCCCATACCATCAATATGCCCAGCCAGTCCCAATAAGCATTGCCATTCACAGAACAAGCCCAGAACATACCGATTTCTCTGCCTAGTTGGGAGGACTTCAGAGATCCCGCTGATGACACAACAGCACACCTGCCCCAAGGCCCAGCCTTGGTCCTAATATTGTCCTTGGGCAGATAACCCTCCCATTCAGAGGTATTGAAGGGAAAATCTGTGGCCTCTACCATGGATACATTCACGTGGTCCCGGAGGTGGCAGCGCAGGGCCTCTGCACTGAACTTGATGCCTGGTCCTGGCCCCTTGTAGGACACTTTGTACTTGTTCATGCTTAGGTAATTCTTCCAGATCTTTTGCAGCCTAGGGATAAGGTTTTTGGAAGAGCTGTCCTTGTTCCACACCTGGAAGAAGGCCTCTGGTTTGGCCTTGGGTATGTCTCTGAGACTGCCGAGGGCCTGGCGGCCCCTGTGGGGGTCCTGGGTGCTGCTTGAGGATACAGACTGGGAATCAGACCCCATGGCCAATTTCCCCAGACTCTTCAACACCTGGAATTCCTTGGTTTGCAATTTAAAGGAATCATAGTAACTCCCTTTCTTCTTTTCCTTCCACACACAGATGACTGCAAACAGAAGAAAGACCAGGACACAGCAGCTGAACTTCTTCTTCAAGTTGGTGTGAATCATAATGAAGATGTGTTCAGGGAAGCCACTTTGTTCTGAGCAGGAAAACAAGCCTAAAAAAAGTGAGACAAAGAAAACACAAATGATGTGAAGAAAAACCCAATGTGGCATGAGGTGGAGCGATGGACTGATCAATAGATTTCAAGTGAGGTGACTTGAATTCCAGCCCTGGTCTACCTCCTAGCCACCTCTGCAGCCTGTTAAGTAATTCTTGACAAAAGTCAGCCTCAATATGGACTTTGAACGTGGACAGTAGTCCCTCGGACACTCCCCTCTTCCTCTTGAGCCATGAACACTTTATTATATGTCCTCCTATCATTACTTTTTCTATGCTGAACATTAGTTTCTGATTGCCTTTGTCTACCTCCCTGACTGCACTCTGAGTTTCTTGAAGTCAGAAACCACACCTTGCAAATCATTCGGTTCCTAGGGCCTTGCAACATGTGTTAAATGAAGCCATGCAGCTTGGAAAAACAAAAACAAAAAAACAGAATACAAAAGAGCAGGCTGACTGTTTCACATCACCAAACCTAAACTTTCTAAAATAGTAAGTGGCCAACACACCTTCAAAATAGCCAGAAAAAGACTTCTCGTTATAGATGATGCCATAGACTTATGACGCATCTCTCTAAGGGCTGCGATGTTGGACTCCTGCATGAGAAGATCAGGGGTTATCTCCACCACATAGTTTCGTGCAGTACCCTGCAAGAAGAGCACTACGGAGACAGGAAGCTGACTCACCTCATGATAGAGGCTAGGAAATCTAGGTAAGATAGCAGACATGCAGCCAACTAAGGAAATGGAAACAAAAATTCATTAAGCATGCTAGATGTTACTTCACTTAACTTCGCCATAACCAGGGCCACCATGAGACACAACTCTGGGGGCACCAAGCATAGCATAATCTAATATGAAGGGCATCTCCTAACCTAAAGGTGTTATCATCTCCATTTTATGGATTAGCAACCTGAGGCTCTGAAAAGTCAAGGGAAGTGTCCAAGCTCACAGAGCTGAGGAAATGGTTGCACTGAGGTTCAAATCCAAGTGGACTTGATTCCATAACCCATGACCTTTCCACTACAACATGCACAGAACTGCAAAAAGCTCTGGAAAATAGATTTCATTGAGCAAATAGAGACTGAATTGTCCTCTTTATTTCTGGGTAAACACCTACTTTGTTTTCTCAGAATTTATTGTGTAACTGAATGGAAACTGGAAGTACTTTGAACTCAAATAATGTCTGTATCTTTTGGAAAACATTACATTCTTTCCCCATTCACTGGGTTTATTTACAATAGTGAATCAAAGCAATCACCTCCGGGGTTTTGCTAACCCACTAGGGATCTGAGGTTTCTTCCCATGGATCCTGCTTCTATGGATATCAGGAAAAGGTAGTAGTAGTACTGGACTGGGTGTTCACAAAACCTGGGTTCTTATCCCCATTCTTGGTGACCTTGGACAGGTCACTTAATATTTCTGCTCCTGAGTTTTTTAGAATAATTCTCTCTGCCCTATGTGATTTGCAAAGTGTCGGGAGCACAAAACAAGAGGATGGTATTCATTGGATTTGAACAAGGTAAGCAAAAAAGCACAGGAGGTATTCTGAACAGAGACAGCAGCAGCTCAGCCTGGGGACCATGTGGAGGTGATGGGGGATAGTGAAGACGGTGGTGTGAAGCCGCAGCCATAACTCAGCAGCCCCGAGCTCCAGGCTCTTCCCTGGGAACTCCTTCATGAACTGACATCCAGCTCATTCCTGGAATCCATTGGCAGTACCAACCAAAGCAGTGCTTCCACCATCCCAGACCTCAGGATCCAGTGGCTCTGGGAATGATGGGTTCCTATCCTGGACTGCTGAAGTTGTGGAAATGATTAAATGCACACAGCGGAAGAAGAATTCAGATATAAGATCATGAAGTGGAGGGTGGAAGCTTGTATTACCAAGAAACTAAGGAATTCAATTTCCACAGATACCCAACACAGGTAATCACATAACCATATGACAGCTGAAGAAAAACCAGAGAAAAGAAGGCAAGTAGCATTTAAGGAGGGCCTACTACATGGTAGTCACTTTCCTTGCAATATCTCATTGAACCTTTACCACAACACTATGATAGAGTTATTGACAACCCTATTTTAGGAAATGAAAAAACTGAGGCTTAGCAAGGTTCTAGGGTCTCTCCAACATCAACAGCAAATCAGTTCTAGAACCAGAATTCCAGCCCGGGTCTATCTGACTCTAAAAGTTCATCATCTTTCCACCCAAGGACATGCATCTGTGATAAGGGGCAGTGAGAAGTCAGTGTGATCAAGTCGGACTCAAGGTCACTAGAGAGGCAACTTGATCTGTCAGACAGTGGCAGACAAGCCTGCCATCCCTGCTGTGCACTGTGTTATCACTCAAGGGGACTTTCCGTATTAAGGTTTCCATATTAGTAAGGTTTTACAGACTTACTATAGGCAGCAGATTTTATGAGCTCCATTTATAGCTGAGTATTGTGAGGTTTGGAAACACAAGTAACTTTCAAAGTTGCATGAGTGATTTGGAAATAGTGGACTTGGAACTTGACTTTGACATGTCTGAATGAAACAACATGGCAGGAAGGGCCTGATTCACTGTCACAGGACTGGAGGCTCAGGGAGCGGCTGCCCAGTACCTACTCTCCAAGGTGTGGTTTCCCAGGAAAGAAGAGTTCCTCCAAATAGCTGGGTCCAATGACAGTCTTGCAACCATCAGATGGCCTCAGCCTTCACAGCCTGTGCCCTGTCATGGCCTCAGGGCACTCATCTGAAATCCCACATCAGGGCTCTTGTGGTCCCTTGACACCACCCTTGGTTGACGCTCCAAGTCCACCAGGTAGCTAGAGTTTCTGGTCACAGGCACTTATAACTGCAAGACCCTCTCTCATCTCTCAAGTTGTCTGAAGAAGGCAGAGTCTGAAGAAGCTTTCACTAAATGGTGCAACTGAGGGAAAAGAGTACAAACTTTTCTCTAAAAATGTTTTGGAAAAACAGACCAAGCTTTGAATTTTCCAATCACACCAGACTGTGTTCTTAAGCATCCAGGTGTCTGCACTGACTGCACCCTTTCTCCTTGTCCATGTGCTTCCCAGCTCTGACAGCATCACCTTTCTGTTTCTGAAGGTCAGTGGAGGCCACCTCCCCCTCCGCACTAGCTTTGTTCCCCTTTGCTGCCAGCCAGTGCTCTGTAATGCTTGCTTTACATGCCTGACTTTGCTGCTAAAGGAAAACTCCTCCCGGCATCCTTTCTGAAACCCTAGTACCCAGCACAGTGCTGGCGCCAGAGCGGATACTCAAAGAAAGATTACTGAACTGATGCAATTTTATAAGAGAGTCTTTACAATCATCATGAGGCTCCTAGAGGAAGAAGACAGCAACTTGCATTACCACCTTCAAAGAACCGGCCAACACTGAACCAGCAGAAATCAATGCTCAAAGCAAGGAAATCCTGTCCCGACCCACCCATCACGACATACTCAATACCAGTTGCATTTGTGGCACGTAGTAGGAACTCAGAATGGTTGACTGAAATACAGAATAACTTAAATCTTATAGTTAATAGAAATGCACAAGCCATTTCTCTATACCCCACAACCAAACCCAAATTGAATCAGCAGTTAAAGAGGACTAAAAAATGTATACAAAAAGAAAACAGCAAAGCTGTAGCCAGATACTGAGATCCTGAGATTCCCTGTCAGCACATCTGCCACACCAGCTTTTACTCAGGAATGTACCCCTTTGCTAGCCCATGCCTCTGTGTGTTCCTTACCTGCTTCTGGTTAATCCCCCAGGGGCTGCAGGCCCTTCAGGTCCTCAGGAATTAGCACTATTCTCCATGGGAGGGAAGATTTATTGGGTCTGGAGGCCAAGGCCCATTTTTCTCAGGATGATCAAAACTCATCTGCAAAGGCAAAAAACAAGAGAGAGAAAGAGAGAAGGTGAGCGCTGTTTTCCAGCAGAGGCAGGGTTAAACATTAACAAGATGGAAAGGTGCCTCTGCAGAGCTAGGCTAGGTCTCAGCCCAGGAAACCTCCAGGGCTCAGGAAAAAAAAAGAGAGAAAAGCATATTAAAGGTGCAATGCTCTGGATCTGTGAACAGCACAGATAGCCTAGAAATAGACTTGACACCGGCTGGGTGCGGTGGCTCACGCCTGTAATCCCAGCACTTTGGGAGGCTGAGGCGGGCGGATCAGGATCATGAGGACAGGAGATCGAGACCATCTTGGCTAACACAGTGAAACCCCATCTCTATTAAAATACAAAAAAAAAACTGGCCAGGCATGATGGCGCCTACCTGTAGTCCCTGTAGTCCCAGCTACAAGGGAGGCTGAAGCAGGAGAATTGCTTGAACCCAGGAGGTGGAGCTTGCAGTGAGCCGAGATCATGCCACTGCACTCCAGCCTGAGCGACAGAGAGAGACTCTGTCTCAAAAGAAAAAAAAAAAAAAATGAAAGAAATAGACTTGACACCAGATAAGAATGGGCTAGAAATCTAAAGCAGCCACCATGGACCAACCTGGGAAGAACAGATTGTTTAATCGCTGGTTTGGAGATAAATAGGGAGCAATTAGGTCCATCCTGAAATAAACTTCAGACAGATTTTCAAAAAATTATTTATTTTCAAAGAATATTTAATAATATATGAAAGTTCAGTCAGTATAATTGTACCTGAAAAAATAGGCTATAAAACTGTAAATACTATCCAAATTCAGAAAAAGAAAAAAACAAAAAAAAAACACATTTAAAAAAATGTGAAAAAGTACTAGAAAAAAGTACACCCAGAATGGTAAGAATAATAGATGTTTTCATTTTTTATCATTTGACATATATTCCAAAATTTCTAAAATGTACATTCATTATTCTTTGACTTTGAAAAAATGTACAAAAGTATTAAAATATAACTTTAGAAAGCTAAAAATAAGCCAGGCATGCGTGTCTGTAGTCCCAGGTATTCAGGAGGCTGAAGAGGGAGGATCATTTGAGCCCAGGAGTTAGAGGCTGCAGTGAGCTATGAGCGCCACTGCACTCCAGCCTAGGTGACAGAGTGAGACCCTGTCTCTAAACAAACCAACAAAAAACAGCTAAAAATATAATTATATACTTGTCAGCTCTTTCTTCTTTTGATGCAATGTAGGAAAACAGCAAAGGAAAAGTTTAATACATTCAGTTGCAAGAAAATTTCAACATCTATACAATGAAAAATACTGTAACTACAATAAAAAGGAAAAGTCAAAATATAAAAAGGATTAATGTAGTAAAAGTTTCCCAAAATAAAGAGGTAATCAATGTGAACAGACATATCACAAAACAAAAAGCACAGTTAACAAGCATATAAAGTTATGGTTAATCTTGAGAGAAACCCAAGAGGGGCAACTAGAATACTAAAAAACTAGTTTATAGAATTTACATTACTCAGCAGTTTTCTACATAATACTCGTTGCTGGACAGATTATAATTAAACTGATATACATTCAAAGGATCATATAAATTAATTTAACCTTTCTAGAATGTATTCAGGCCATAGAATTAACAGCTCCTGGCTATGGACCACGTACTGTACTTCTAGGAGCAAGAGTGAATAAATAAATAATTCAAAAGTAAAAAAGATTATACACTTCAGTTTCCCCACATGTAAAATGATTCTCTATATTACATAGTTGTGATGACAGTTGAAAGAGGATTAATGAGATAAAGAATGAGTTCTATAAAGCAATAGGCATACAAAGAAGAAAAGGTTTTTTTTTTTTTTTAATAATTTTAACTTTTATGTTAGATTCAGGGGGTACATACGCAGGCTTGTTACTTGGGTATACTGCACAATGCTGAGGCTTGGGGTATGACTGATCCTGCCATGCAATTACTGAATAATTAGTTTTTAAACTCTTTCCCCTGTCTCCCCCGTCTTGTAGTGCCCAGTGTTTATTATTGCCATCTTTATGTCTATCAGTATTCACTGTTTAGCTCCCACTTATAAATGAGAACATATGGTATTTGGTTTTCTGTTCCTGCATTATTAATTTGCTTAGGATAATGGCTTCCAGTTGCATCCATGTTGCTGCAAAGAGCATGGCTCTGTTCTTTTTCATGGCTGTGTAGTATTCCATGGTGTATATGTACCACATTTTCTTTATCCAATCCACCACTGTTGGGCACCTAGGGTGATTTCATTCTTTGCTATTCTGAATAGTGCTGCAATAAACACACAAGTGCATGTCTCTTTTTGGTAGAAACATTTATTTCCTTTTGGATATATACCCAGCAATGTGATTGCTGAGTTAAATGGTAGTTCTGTTTTTAAGTTTTCTGAGAAATCTCCAAACTGCTTTTCATGGTGGCTGAACTAATTTACATTCTCAACAACAGTGTGTAGATGTTCCCCTTTCCCTGCAGCTTCCCTAGCATCTGGTGATTTTTGACTTAATAATAGCCTTTCTGACTGATGTGAGATGGTATCTCACTGTGCTTCTGATTTGCATTTCTCTAATAATTAGTGATACTGAGCATTTTTCATATTTGTTGGCAGCTTATATGCATCTTTTGAGAATTGTCTGTTCATGTCTTTTGCTCACCTTTTAATGTTGTTATTTGTTTTTTGCTTGTTCAATTGTTTTAAGTTTCTTATAGAGATTCTGGATGTTAGACCCTTGTTGGATTCATAGCTTGCAAATATTTTCTTCCATTCTGTAGGCTGTCTGTTTATTCTGTTGATAGTTTCTTTTGCTGCACAAAAGCTCTTCAGTTTAATTACTTCCCACTTGACAATTTTTGTTTCTGTTGCAGTTGCTTTTAAGTACTTAGTCATAAATCCTTTCCCAAGGTTGATGTCCAGAATGGTGTTTCCTAGGTTTTCTTCTAGGATTCTTATAGTTTGAGGTCTCACATTTAAATCTTTAATTGATCTTAAGTTAATTTTTGTATATGGTATAAGGAAGGGATCTAGTTTCATTCTTTTGCATACAGCTAGCCAGTTATTCCAGCATCATTTATTGAATAGGGTGTTCTTTCCCCCATTGCTTATTTTTGTTGACTGTGTTAAAGATCCGATGATTATAGGTATGTGGCTTTATTTCTAGGTTCACTATTCTGTTCCATTCGTCTACGTGTCTGTTTTTGTACCAGTACCATGCTGTTTTGGTTACTGCAGCCTTACAGTGTGGTTCTAAGTCAGGTACTGGAATACTTCTGAGTTTGTTCTTTTTGCTTACAATTGCTTTAGCTATTTGTACTCTTTTTTGGTTCCACATGAATTTTAGGATAGTTTTTTTCTAGTTCTGTGAAAAATGACATTGGTAGCTTGGTAGGAACAGTGTTGAATCTACAGATTGCTTAGGGCAGTGTGGCTGTTTTAATGATATTGATTCTTTCACTCCATGAACACGAAATGTTTTTCCATTAGTTTGTGTCATCTATAACTTCTTCCAGCAGAGTTTTGTAGTTCTCCTTGGAGGGATATTTCACTTCTTTGATTAGATGTATTCCTAGGTATTTAACATTTTATTGCAACTATTATAAATGGGATTGTGTTGTTGATTTGACTCTCAGCTTGAAAATTACTGGTTATGGAAATGCCATGAATTTTTATACACTGGTTTCTTATCCTGAAGCTTTGCTGAAGTCGTTTATTAGTTCCAGAAGCCTTTTGGCAGTGTCTTTACAGTTTTCTAGGTATAGAATCCTATTGTCAGCAAGGAGAGACAGTTTGTGTTCTTTTCCTGTTTGGATGCCTTTTACTTCTTTCTCTTGTTTGATTGCTCTGGACAGCACTTCCAATACGATGCCGAATAGAAGTGGTGAGAGTGGGCATCCCTCGTTTCAGTTCTCAGGGAGAATGTTTGCAGGTTTTACCCATTCAGTATGATATTGACTGTGGGTGTGTTACAGATGATTCTTATTATTTTGAGGTATGTGCCTTTGATGCCTAGTTTCTTGAAGGCTCTTATCAAAATCTTTTTCTGCATCTATTGAGATGATCATATGGCTTTTGTTTTTAATTCTGCTTATGAGGTGAATCACATTTATTAATGTGTCTAGGTAAAACCAACCTTCCATCCCAGGAATGAAGCCTACTTGATCACAGTGAGATAACTTTTTGATGTCCTGCTGGATTCGGTTTGCTAGTATTTTGTTGAGGATTTTCACATCTGTTTTCATCAGAGATATGGGCCTGTGGTTTTCTTTTTTTACTGTGTCTTTGCCAGGTTTTGGTATCAGGGTAATGCTGGCTTCATAGAATGAGTTAGAAAGGGATCTGTCTGCCTCACTTTTTTGGAATAGTTTCAGGAGGACTGGTACCAGCTCTTTTTTGTACGTCTGATAGAATTTGGCTATGAATTTATCTGGTCCAGGGCTTTTTTTGATTGGTAAGTTTTTTATTACTGACTCAATTTCATAACTTGATATTGGTATGTTCAGGTTTCAATTTCTTCTTGATTCAATCTTGAAAGATTGTGAGTTTCCAGGAATGTGTCCATTTCTTCTAGATTTTCTACTTTGTGTGAACAGAGGTATTAATGATAGTCTCCAAAGATCTTTCATATTTCTGTGGGATTAGTTGTAATGTCGTGTTTGTCATTTCTGATTGTGATCATTTGTACCTTCTCTCTTTTCTTCTTTGTTAATCTAGCTAATAGTTTACCAAACTTGTTTATCCTTTCAAAGAACCAACTTTTGGTTTTGTTGATTCTTTGTATGAATTTTTGAGTCTCAATTTTGTTCAGTTCTGCTCTGATTTTAGTTATTTTTTTCTTTTTCTGCCAGCTTTGGGGTAAATATTTTTTCCAGTTCCTCTGTGTGCAATATTAGGTTGTAAATTTGAGATCTTTCTAACTTTTTGAAGTAAGTGTTAAGCACTATAAACTTTCCTAATAACACTGCCAAAAATAAAAATTTTTAATGTCAAACT